ACAGCAACCCATTTTTAGCAAGCGTAATTATACTATTATATCATACTGACTAAGCTCATCATACTGGTAACAATATCAAGGGAGAACTTGAATGAAATGACTAATAAGCAGATAACGAACAATAGCCACTTGATTAGTCATATATTAAATGTAAAAGAAATTGTTGATGTTTTGTTACTGGTTGCACAGTAAGAATTTCTTCCTGTGTCTACAAGTAGATGCTAATTCATTTCTGGTGTTTAAAGGAGCTAATTCCGGGTGGCAAATAATTAGCAACTTTTCGTGAAAGCCACTTTTATTTACCACCAAAAGGTGTAACAAATTTAATACCTAGAAAATCTGATATTGTCATCATTGAATTACATCGTGTATATACTCGGAGATTCAATAGAAAATTTGAAAGGCAATCCGAAAAAATGGCAAAAGAATTTTTTAAAACCCTTGTGCAACATCCAGCATCAGTAAAAACTTCTAAGCTGTTTTATAAGCAATTTGATGGTCACAGACACAATTTTTAAACTGGTTGTTTTGTCAAAACCTTTATGACCTCATTCTAATTGAATGAGAACGTCCTCTTCCTACTAGAGGCCTTATTACAATTTGCTCATCCAAAAGATCAGAACAAATTCAACAGTGTTCGGACACCACTTCATTCGTAAACCTAAAGAATATTTTAAATAGGTTTATACTTATATCGACACTAGCACACATGATCTACAGCCATACAAGACACCTCCCTCACCTGAGACTCCTGGCGACCACATGAGGGCAAAAGTTCATTGATAATTTATTAATTCGTAAACGCAGCAAACAACTATCTAAACGCAGCAAACAACCATCTAAACGCATTAAACGTTGGGCTGGACGAAGTTAATGAAAATATTATATAATCAATCTTAAAAAATATCTTTAGTTTATAAAATATTTCACACAGCATTTATGACTAGACTGCCATGTCAGCACTGTACAGTATTCCCCGTTTGTCTTCCAAGTGTTATTCATTCATGATTAGGCGAGACAGCGGTTTCGGTCTACGTTTAGGCTACATACAGTAGCCTTAGGCCCAGATAGTTGGCTATGCCAAGGCCTTTTCAGTCTTTGCAGGTTTGCATCGTAATTTGAATTAGGTATGTAAAAAATCAAATGCATAATTCATTAAGGTTAATTATTTATTATGTATGATTAAATTCATAATGATGATTCTATACCCTAGGCAGGACAGGCGTGTACTAGGGGTAGAACACTAGCCACGCAATGATTTTCTATATCAACACTGCTTATTAACGCAATAGGCCAGTGGATAACTGCAGTTGAATTTTACGTAGAAGTTTGTTGTAGCTGCTTGAATTTCGCAACAGTAATAAAAATTGTCCCTTTAATTAAGGCCTTTTTTAGTTAATGTGGTTCTTTTTCATATTTCATAGTTTTATAACAAGACAGATTATGTGATAATAAAAACCAAAAATATACACAAAATTGCTTTTCATGATATATTGCCAAGTTTGTATGTACAATAATGTGTTTAATTATTGTATAAGTTATTCAATTTTTATGATTAAAAAAAAAATAGATACTCTTTGTTTTATTTCCAACTTTGTATGTACAATAATGTTTTCATCTTTTAAATATTTTCTTAAATTTTAATTACTATTTTTTCTATAACAAAATTGCAAATAACCTTAAACTATAAATAGCTAATAGGTAATCTATTATCTTTTTGTATTTTCTACACTTTATTCAAGTGATATGTTAACCATCTCATTTTCATAAAATATCGCTTATCTACCGTTTGAAAATATGATTGAAATTAATAATGGTTGAATGGATGAACGAGTTTCTGAAACTGTTAATTCTGAATCTAGGGGATACTGCTCTTCCTGATAAGAAATGTGCTTATACATAATACATACATACGCACCAGACAGTGCGGAAACTTGCGTATTCATCAGAGCATTTGTCCTCCACAACATCTTCTAGATTCCACAAGCATTATTCAGAGATGATGGCTTAATATTCTTGCAGAAAACCCTACACCAAACCTAAAGATAACTGAGGCCAATCAAAAAATTGTACACTTCTTAGATGTCACGCTTGACCTTAACTCCGGATCATACAGACCATACAGTAAAAGTCAGTTACAGATGTATGGATAACATGATGAAGATAATAAACGCCCACAACCAGAAAATCTTGAATCCAGCACCACCCAAACCGAAAAAAGAATGCAACTGTCAAGTGAAACAGGATTGCCCCCATCAGGCAAATACGTGACAAAATTCGTCGTTAATAAAGCAATTATAGCACCAAAGAAAGAATACATAGGGCCCACGGAAAACGAATTCAAAACAAGATAAAACGACCACATCATGTCATTTCGGCAAGCCAAATATCGATCCCACACAGAACCATCTAAACATACTTAGAACCTCAAAGGTAATAACATACCATACAACATCACATAAAAAATCATCAAGCGTGCAAAGCTATACTCCAGTGCAACAAAAGCTGTGAAACTTCTGCCTATAGGAATAAAAAAATTATAATCACCTCCAAGAACAATAGCACTCGAAACAAAAGGTGCGAACTTGTGTCGACACCAGAGTAAATCCCTATTGCGGAACGTTTAACTAAATACAATACATACTTACTAGGACATACATATACACACACACACACACACATCAATGCCTGTCTTCGTCAAACCAGTTGTAATAACTATGGTGGAATAATAATATTCTCTATACATATTTACATATATAC